CTTCACCATATAACCTTATTTTGTTGACAATCTTTATGACTCTGTCAGCATACTCCTTCACAATATCAGTCTTAAAGATCCTTTACATTTCATATTCTCTTCTCCAACTGAGAATTTGCATTTGGATTGCCTTCTAGTCTCCTTGGAACTCTTGCTTAATCCTATCCCAAGCTTGCTTTGCTGTTTCACAAGTCTTAATCTTGCTAAAGATTTCATCTGTGACAGAGGAATGAATACAAGTAAGGGCCTTATACTTCTTGGCAAACTTCTCTGAGTGTCTCTTCATTTGATTTAAAGTGGTATTTGTAGGCAAAGGAGGAAGAACACTTTCTACCTCAACATCTTCCCAAAGATCAAAAGTTTGAGATAAGCCTTCATTTTGACTACCCAAACAACATAATTTTTACTAGAAAAAATTGGAGACTTTTCTGTGAAACTGTTGCTAGATTCCATGGAGGAACTCTCAAGTGTTTGATGGTGTTTCTGAGGTTCTCTCGAATCACTCCCTCACAATGAAGATTTCTGTCCAAACTCTTGAAAAGATTTCTATCCAACTCTCTATATAGCTACTGTTCCTTTTCCTTTAACATCAATAGAGTCACCATTTCCAAGCTTTACTTTGGATGCATAACTTGAATCCAAACTCCTGAAAAGATTTTTGTCTAGAGTCATGTAGTGAGTACAGTCACCATTAATCAACCAAGCTGAAGATACAAACTTCACAGCATGGAAATGTTCAATTTTGGAAGCAATAAACAACTACTCCTTGTGTTGCTTGTCATTTTTTGCCAATTAAGCTTGTGTTCGCTTGTTTTGTAGATTTTGTTAACATCACCAAACTGTTTGCAAAGTTTACATTGCACACCAGGTCTGGTCCAACAACAACTCTCAGTATGGCATTTCTTGTTGCAATTAACACAGAAAAAAACTATCTTTTTGCCTTTGTACTTGTTGCCTTAATACTCCTTTTTCTCCTTACCTTTTCTTTCAAAGAACTACTTTTTTTCACCATCCATCACTTGAGATTTATTGGCTTATTCGACTACCAAAGTATTTTCAATAGGTTTGCTTTCAAGTCTTAAAGACTTTCTTTGCTCAACAGCCTATAGAGCATTGATAAGTTTAGACAATGGGATTTGAGTAAGATCTCTACAATCCTCTAAGGAAGATATCTTGGGCTTAAATTTCTCGGGCAAACTAACAAGCACTTTCTAAAAAACACTTATGTCACTAAGCTTTTCACCATTTAACCTTATTTGGTTGACAATCTTCATGGCTCTGTTAGCGTACTCCTTCACAATCTCGGTCTTAGACATCCTTTACATCTCGTATTCTCTTCTCCAATTGAGAATTTGCATTTGGATTGCCTTCTAGTCTCCTTGGAACTTTTGCTTAATCCTATCCCAAGCTTGCTTTGCTATTTCCCATGTCTTAATCCTGTTAAAGATTTCATCCGTGACAGAGGAATGAATATAAGGGCTTTATACTCCTTGGCAAACTCCTCTGAGTGTCTCCTCATTTGATTTAAAGTGGCATTTGTAGGCCAAGGAGGAAGAACACTTTCTATCTCAACATCTTCCCAAAGATCAAAAGCTTTGAGATAAGCCTTCATTTTGATTGCCTAAACATCATAAGTTTTATAAGAAAAAACTAGAGACTTTTTTGTGAAACTGTTGCTGGATTCCATGGAAGAACTCTCAAGTGTTTGGTGGTGTTTTTGAGGTTCTCTCGAATCACTCCCTCACAGTCCCTCAAGATTAGAAAAGTTGTGATACCATGTAAACTTTGATGGAGAAAAGGAGAGCAAAACACACATAGTTTTCATTAACAATTCTACTTTTTACATGGAAATAAAGGAAACTACTGAAAACAGAAGAAAACTACTGTGAACAAAAACAAGTTAATTGCCCATTACACTAAAAACAAACTACTAACTACAACAAATTAAAACTAGCGTGAGTGCCACTATCAACAATGAAGGTATGTGGCCTTAATGTCATGGCTAACTTCAATAATTATTAATGAAGGTATGTGGCCTTAATGTCATGGCTAACTTCAATAATTATTAATGAAAGAACAAAGCATGAAAACCAGAGAAAACTGCAATAAGGATTAGTGAGAGATCAAATGATGGTAACTAGAGAAGGGGGCATGCAAGACTATACTGAAATGCTAGGAAAAAAGATATGGAAGAGGTGGTGAAATACTAAACAAAAATACTGGACAAAAATATAATAAAAATTAGGAAATATAAATAAAAAAAGTACTGAAAGAGAACTTAATAAAAACTATTAATAAAAAATTAAAAATCAATTAAAAAATAACTTCTTTAAAACTTTTTGAAAAACATAATATAGAATGCAAATATTCAGTTAATAAAATATAAAAAAAACACAAAAAATTGACTCCATATAATCACCCAACAACAAAAAAAAATTATACAAAAAATTGTCTCTATATCATTGCCCTTCATTAAAATTTAAAAAATATTATATAATATATAATTACTAAAATAGACAATATTTACTACTTCGTAATAATTTAAGTTTTTTAAGTTTTATATAATAAGTTTTTCTTAGATATTGTGAGGGAAAAACTCATAAGGAGAAAATAAGTTTTTTTTTTAAAAAAAAATTATGAAATTTTCAAATCAATGAGAGGTTTAATTTAAATAAAATATTATAAATTGTGATATAATTAAATAAAATGAGATTAAATTTTAATAAATAATTTTATAATTATATTAAATATTAAATATTAAATATAGTTTATAAAAGTATAGTTAGAAAGTCTCCAAATAGATTTATAATTTCATATATATAATTATTATAAATTTATTATTATTTTTTATAATTTAAAAAAATAATTTTAAAAAATTATTACAAATATATTTAAAAAACATTATATTGCTAAAAAAGAAATCCCATACGTAATTTTAGACCGACCCTAAATCTAACCACCCTACCATGAATTAATTGAATTGAACCTTCCTCGACATGATTGACATGATATTAAAAATAGAAAAGCGATTGGTCAAGTTTAAAGTGTTTAGGAGGAAGTTTCATTGGGTCAATCAATCAAAGTTTTTTTTTTTTAATAAAAAAAAAAAAAACTTCAAAGCAAGCAGTCAGGAAAAGTTGAAAATAGAAATAGCCTTCCTGTCACAAATTTACGCGATTAACACCTTTTAACTTAATCGTGCCCCTTTCTCATTTCTCATGCACATTTTTTTTTTAACAAAATATTATGGGGGTTTGAATCCAACTAAAAAAAAAAAAGTTGAAAACTGCATCGAAACGACAGAAGTCACTTGACCCAACGGCCTGCACTTTCTCATGCACATCTAATCAGATAAATTTTGATCAATTCTAATGAATAATTTCAGAATTTGATTTTGGTGCTTAGGGGGAAGGGTACCGACCCCCCTGCAGGACTTAGAATAAGCCTGATTTATAGATAGAGGCTGCTATTAGCTAAGAAGAGATTTAGCTGCCCCTAAAGCTGGTAATGCCTGTTGCGACTTTCGTGTTTGCTTTAAGAGGCTTTAAGCGGTACTTTTTCTACTTTGTAACATTTGTATTACGCCAACTGTGACTAATAGCTAAATAGTAGTCTTAGGTGACTTTTAATTCTGAATTGGCCAGACTAGCTATTGTCATAGTCGTCTATTGTTTTTTTTTATATATATATATATTAGAGAGTTAATTAATGGATAATATAAAATTTTAAAATTTTAATTTTAATTTAATGAATATTAATTTAACCAAACTTTTATTGGTATCACATATTATTATATAGTGTAAGAATAGCTTGATACTTTTGTGGGTCAGCCGTGAGATTATAGAACATTATGTAATTTCTACAAAAATTCAAAAGATTTTGCATGAAAACTAAAAATTTACTAAGGGAATTTTATTTTATAGTTTAAATTGTATTAAATTGTGAAATAAAAATTATTAAATGACCCAATTTTATTCAATAGTTAATATAATGTAATACGATACAATTTAGATTGAATTATATTTTTTTTCAATTTACAAAATATAACTTCAATTAATCTAATTTGTTATGTTTAGCTAGGGAGTGTTGGGTTGTACCTAACATTTTAAAAGTATATAAAATATATTTAACATTTATTTTAAGAAAAAAGTATATATTAATGATGATTATTAAAATAAATTAGAGTTTTAATCTTAAACTAAATGGTTTTATTTAATTAAAAATTAATTCATAATTTAAAAATATATCTTATCAAACATTAATATTTAAATTTAAAAACTGATTATATAACTGATTATATTAGAATATATAATTAGTTCTCAAATTTATGTATCAATATTTAAGGCTCGTTTAATATAGCAATTTAAAGGTAATTGTTAACAGTTTTACTCAAATCACTAATAATAGATGTTTAGTAGACTTATTTATTTCAAAACTGCTATAAATTATGTATTTGGTAAAACTTTTTATTTAACGGTTTAAAATTAATGGATAACGATTAGGGTTCAAACCACTTGCAGATTGAAAAAGCTTCCTAAAGTAGTTTTTTTGTACCAAATCACTAGCGGATTAAAATTTTTAATTTTATTAACAAATTTAT